TAAGTGTGATTAATAGAGTGACGAGGGATACCGTTGCTGTTATAACAAGTTTTCCCTTCGACATTGATTGATAATCGCGAATTAGTCGCCATCCGAATCCGATAGTTTTTTCGGCATTGCAGTGAATAATAAAAACCTATTTAAACGCCAAATGACGTATACACATACATATATAATATTTGCATCGTTCTTTTTGCATCTTTCATATCTGTGACAAAAAATATCTTAATAGATGGTGCTAACAATTCAGTTTTACTTATTCAAGTAATTGTCTTACGAATGATTAAATATGTCAAAATGCATTGAATTTTCGATGTTCAATAAGTCAACAACTTTTCCAATTGATTTTCGTGTATTTCAGTACAAATAATATTGTTAATAATACGTGTATGCCAGATGATTAAATTCACTTTGTCTGAATTTTGCAAACTAACTGCCTAACGTTCTATTCGTATCTTGCAATCGAACAATTAAGCTTAAAATATTTAAAATTGAAATGTGATATAGATACCATCTCGTAATTCAAACAGTCCGAAATAGAACATGATTATGAATTTGTGCATAATCATATTTCCAGATCATTTTAATTATTTAATATCTCAGCCACAGCAAAACTAACTCTATGTTTAAATGACAGCAGAAAATTAATAAACTTTTCTAACAAACTACTTTTCAAATGAACATAATGAACATAATATTGTCACAATTTTTAATGAGATTAGCAAAATTTATCAAAGCTGAAATCGAATTTTTCTAATTATCTAATACCTATAATTATAAACATATTACAATAGAAATTATCGCACGCCACAGTAAACTAACTCCACGTTTTAAATGACAGTAGTAAATCGACAAACTTTTCTGACAAACTATTTTTCAAATAAACAAAATATTTCGAGTGATATTGCCACAATTTTTAACGAGATTGGCAAAATTTATCGAAACGGAATTTTTCTAATTATCTTATAATTATAAATACATTACAATAGAATATATCGCACGTGTGCATGCACGCGAAAATAATCATTGGATGATCATTAAAGATGTGCATTCCATCGATACTTGCGGGCATTGGTCACGGTGCTTGTCGTGCGTGTACAATGCGTTATTTTCGTTTGGCTCGAGTGCGACGGTGCGCTTTGGCGTGTCTGCCCCGCAATTTGTACTGTCCACCGGACTTGTCGCTCTATCATTATTATCCGATAAAGATCTACCTTGGTTGCTTTCCGTTCTTTGAAACGCAGCCATTATTAAGGTCACCCGCGCGTACAACGTTTGAGGTATATACGCGTGCATTCCTTGAAATGATACAACGTTACCGCGAAACGAATTTCACAGTCGCTACTACTCCAGCCGCAGTCTACTCCCTGTGCAAATTAATTAATTTATCTTCTCGTTTAATCCGTTTAATCACCTAAACGGCGACGAACTGCAACTGCCGTGCTTGTTCTCTCGGCAGCCTGAGCTCTGCAGATATATCTACGCTAAAGACACGCTTGTTACGTTATTAAAATATATTTCTTGGCGATATACAGTTTTAATTATATTTAAACTGATTTCAATTACACGCTTCAACGTGTATTTTTAAAGCAATCTCAATTTGCGAGTAATCAACTTTACTCGAGTAATCAACTTTACATATATATATATATATATTTTTTTTTTTAATTGATGAAGCTATATTTGTCTCCTTGTAAAAATGAATTTATTTTATATTAATATTATTCTCTTACCATTAGAGATCGTCTCTACACTCTTAATCCTGTATCTCTAAATTCGAAGTGTTTCTTTTTTAATTGAAAAAAAGACTACACCTCGAATTTAGAGATACTGTGCGATATAATGATAAGAATGTAATTTAACAGAGCGCTAATAAATAATCCTTTTGTTATTTTATTTATTTATTCAATGATTGTTTAATTTATTCTGTATGTGTATACCATCGACGAAGGTGTAACAGGTATGAAATAATTGCTTCCTACGAGTAATTACTCGCTTTTTCCACGACAGCCATTTGTAGTATTCTGTTGATCGCGCCTGCTCCCCCGTCCGCCTGATAATCGCTTTTTCGTGCCACGCGTACATTATGACGACAGAAAAATAATATTAATATGAAGCAACCGCAGTCGGAGAGGGCCGTTTCGCGCGGAAATGGCAATTTTCTCTGCCGAGCGTAATTCGCTTATCTCCTCTCTGCTCGCGTAATAGGAGACAATGTAAAAACCGTAATAAGAAAATCAAGACAAGAATTTAAAAGAAAGGGTCTATTGAAGAATGATAATTGGGGGAGGGGGGGGGAACTGTTCCGCTTTCACGTACTTTATTACAATGAGCGAGCCTCTGAAAGCTCGGGAATAATGAATGTACGAAGGCCTGCTTATATAACGTCTCTTTATTAGTACACAATCGGTAGGACGCGATGAAAATTTTCAATAATCATCGGGATGCCGCGTGTACGTTCGAAGTAGGTGGAAGTAATTAAATAATGATGTGTCGTTGTGTGTCCGCAATTTCTTGCGCTGATGAATCTAGGTTATCTATCTGCGTTGCCGTAACGTCATGCATGGATGTACGGAGAGAACGATAACGTCGACCGAGTTACATCGTTGTACTGGCAATCGCATGGCGAGCCTCCTGACGGATATTCTCGATTTGTCGCCTTATCTAATCGTAAACGGATGCACGCCTCGTAACCGCGCGTGGCCAATCGAGCAGCAAGGTGATTAAATTCACGTACACGCCTTAATTTCAATCGCGATGTCTTATGAGCAAAATTCCATCCTGTCGAAAAAAGGCGAGGATCTTCTTGTCAAAACATCAATATCTTACATTTCCTTTTTATTTACAAAGAGTTTAAAAATTTTGTTTTAATTTTGATTTTTATTTTCAAATAAAATAGGCCATTCTAAAATTCAAATTCGAATATTTTCAAGAAAAAAGACTCATATAAATTGGTGGTACATACATTTTCGTAATAAAAGTTTTACAACTAAACAATCTGTCTTTAACTTATGATAATTCTTGTGTTTTTAAAATACTGGGGAAATTTGTTTCAATTATTTCCATCTTTTAAAATTTTTGTATACGTAAAAATGAAGCGTTAATCTTTGCTTCCAGTATCGAAACGTTGAGAATGACAAGCATGTCGGCCCGCTGGTTGCTAAGTACAACAAGATTACTTTCGGAATGGGATACAAGATTCCGGGGATACTTGAATAAAGCAGCACACATATCCGAAGAGTAGATGGGGAGATTCTTGGCAGAGGGCCATTGAGAGAAATATGAACCGAGCTTACTTCCACGGTAACACATAGTAAATTCTGTCATGGGGTGCTAAAATGGGCGCATTGAAATGGAACGTATTATGCGACGATAATAGGTGTACAAAAGAAAAAAGAATTTCATTCCAATTCATTTAGACAATTTTAAAAGTTAATACCAATATCTGTACCAGTAATATCATTATCAAATTGAGGTAACAATATTTAGGTTTGTAATGGCGGAAATTGAAATAGCTATTATTTCACGGAATTTAATTTTTAATTAGACGTAGAAAGCAGAATTATTTTATGCCGTAAAGAAATGAATGAAAAGCTCTTTTTCAAGAATTAATAGAGGGAATTAATAGACCTTTGCGTGGATACCTACGCGCTGTACGGAATTTGTCGGAGAGGGGGAGAAGTCTTCGAAAGATAGAAACTTTTTACTTTCCGAGTTATCCGTCTGCTAATTATCGCACGCACAGAAATCAAAGAAGAAAAAAAGTACCGTTACCCCGAAGATGTTGTCTCCGAACAATGGTGGGAGTATCGATCGTCGGAAGTGGGCGATAAAATAGCGCGGGAGGAAAGAAGGGAGCGGTCTTCTTTCACTCTAAATGGGAGGGATTTATTTTTAGTCCCCTGTGTACGCGACTCGCGGTAGGGAAAAATCTCGATTTTTACGCTGACGAAGCGCACGCGCTTTTCGCTTCGCGTAAAGCGCGCGTCAAGAGGAATCTCTCGATGAACCTGACTCAGCTATCGGCCGCGCGGTGTTGCACACGGTGCCAATGACACCGCTGGGTATACAACGTGTATTGTTCTGACCGGTGTATCGATTCTTTCGAACGAGAAGATGCAAGGCGACAACTACCGCGATTCTCATTTCGCATCGATACAACGCAGACCGATTCGAAAGCAACGCGGACAGTATCTAAAAACGAGTAGCAAATTATAGATAATAAGATACTCTTTATTAATTGCGTGTTGTATGAGAATAAAGCGGAAGCGCTTTAAATGCAAAGTTTCTCTCGCAATTATTAGACGATAATTGCAATTCTTCTAATGAAGATAGAGGAAGATAGGCATTCAGCTGTGATTGCGGAAACATTAAATTGCTGAACTATTTATCCTACATCACGCGAATCTCGAGTTCAATAATATTTTTCCTCTTCGGTATAATCGCACCACCAGGGAGAATTTGTGATTCGTTAACAAAATCAGACTGTCCGAATAACTCGTGATTGGCTCCCTTCCAATTTGCCGGCGACCTTCGATCTCGGGGCGAATTCTCTCCCTTATTTCAATCACGTTTATCACGGAAATAAAGTCCTCGTGATAAAGTACGCGCAAAAGTATTAGATCGTATGATAGATTACAAGCGACTTGGGAAACTACAAAGAAAAGATTTGAACACAATATAATTTTGTATAATATCAATATTATCATTTCTGTATTAATTACCGCGGTCCGAGGAAAAGTTTCTGCAAATATTAGAAAAAAAACCGTTAATTATGTTTGACATCACGGAAAACGCGTCGGCGTGGAAAATTCGCAAAGCTCGATGAATCTGGAATTAAGACGCGCATTGAGAAGCTTGAGAATACTGCGCATATTTTTCGCTGAAGCTTCGCGCTTTGGAATATCCTTCGGGCCAAACAAATCACGAGGCAAACATTGCAACGTTGAACGAAATAAAAATAAGAGGATAGATGGGTAGGCAATACACTCTCGCCCTACCTTGACATCTCGACTCTTCATCTCCTGCCTCCTGGGCACGGTATTCTCCCCGTCGGCGTACACGAGATTCCTAATAAATCCATTGAATCTTGGCTCGAATATCACGCTAGGCAGCGCCAACAGCGTCAGCTTGCTGTTATACCAGCTAGGCATACCGCCCACGTAGACGTCCGAGTTCCCGGCGAGCTTGCCGAACTCGAATTCCTTGCCGCGCGACGTCGAGACCGCGCCGACACCGTCCACGGTCAGGGTAGTATTCTCGTTGCATCTGGTGATCTGCACCTTGTGCCAGTGGCCGTCGCCGAGGTCGTGGCCGACCGTGACGATCTGCGCACCGCCGCCGAGATTGTATCTCAGTCTGAGAGCGCTCTCGACCAGCTTGACCTCGAAGAAGTCGTAGGTGCCGCCGTCGTCCGTGTAGAGCAGCAGCCCGTTGCCCTGCTCGGTCTTGAACTCGAACTCGAGGGTGCCGTTCAGGCCGGCATTCCATTTGCGAAATTGCGCGTAGCTCGTCGCGGAGCCCTCCAACAGGAAGGAACGGGCCAGCTGGCAGACGAGCGGCAGCACCGCCAGCAGAAGCGGCGCCGGCAGCAAAAGCGTGGGACGCATGATTCACTCTTGGACTGGATCACCGCGCTAGATCCGGCTCATTCGCGGATCGGACCGCGTTCTCTCTCGCTCTCTCTCTC